ACTGGGTGCAGTGGCTCACACCTATAATCCTAGTGCTTTGGGAGGCCAAAGTGGGAGTTTACTGCCGCTCTGACCTTGTGGGTTCAAGCAATCCTCCCACCTCAGCCTCCCAGGTAGCTGGGATTACAGGCATGAACCACCACACCTAACTGATTATTGTATTTTTAGTGGAGATGGGGTTTCACCATGTTAGATAGGCTGACATGTTAGACAGGTCTCGAACTCCTGACCTCAAGTGACCCACCCTCCTCAGCCTCCCAAAGTGCTGGGATTACAAACATGAGCCACTATGCCCGGTCTATTGTTGTTATTGTTACTAGGTAGCACAGTGGGAATCTGATTTCAGACTTATTCAGACCCGAGCCCACATTCCTGACCCCTTAGCTAGCCCACCTGGTGCTACTGGTTGCTTAGGGGTGAATGACCATTGACCATAACACGGTTCCTAGAGAAAAAGCCTTCTAGAAGGGCCCAGAATTCAATCCCCTTATGCCCGTGGTCAGAGGAGACCATCAGGATAGGGTCATGGGAGGGGCCCTGAGACAGCCTAGAGACTCAAAGCAAACAAAACTTCCTCAATAATGAGTCCAAGCTGGGCACAGCAGCTCATGCCTGTAATCTTTGGGAGGCCAAGGAGGGCAGATCACTTAAGGTCAGGAGTTCAAGACCAGCCTGGCCAACATGGTGAAACCCCATCTCTACTAAAAATACAAAGAAATTAGCCGGGCGTGGTGGCACACGCCTATAATCCCAGCTACTTGAGAGGCTAAGGCATGAGAATGGCTTAAACCCAGGAGGTGGAAGTTGCAGTGAGCCAAGATCATGCCACTGCACTCCAGCCTGGGCGACAGAGTGAGGCTCCATCTCCAAGAAAAAAAAAAAAAAAGTCCCTCCCAGGTCTGCACAGTTCAAGAAGAAAACCATCCACCTGTTTCATCCCCAGCCTGGCCATCCCTGCTGTCCCCTGCCTGGCAGAAGCAGCAGTCCATTCTGAGAAACAGGGGCAGAACATGGAAACCAAGGGAAAGAAAGGCTCCGCACCCACCCCCAGAGCCCAGCTGCCACTTTGGCCTGTTGACTGGGGCTGGTAGACACCTCCACCATGCCCTCAGTGGCTGGGGGAGGAAGTCCTTTTTACTACTGAGAGAATCTCTCACTCAAACAAAGTCTTACCCAGAAATGTACACAATGGAAATAGAAATGCGGGATGAATGTAGTTGAGCCTGCGAGACAGACCAGCCTGGTTACCACCCACCCTTCTGTGATGGGCCCTAAAACAGGGTGCAGACAGAACAGAATTTGCAAACCGCTAAGCTGTGGCAAGGCAGGCAATCTTTCTGAGAAGGTGACTTGGGATTACTGGCTGGGACAAGAGTTACCACTGAAATGTGAGAACAATAGCCACCTTGTCTGAGAATAGCTTGGCTGGACTGACCATCTCACAGATGAGACATGATTATACTGGTTGGAAGTTCTCAAGGTTGCAAGAAGGTGGGAGCTGGCTCTCTAACCCCAGAAGCTGTGGGGGCTTTGATAAAGGCCCTCCTGTTGTCACCTGCCTGCCCCTTAGGCTCTGTTGCCATCTGGACTTTTACCCTTAGCACTGTTTATACCTTAAAGAATGAGCTTGCTGGGTGCAGTGGCCCATACCTGTAATCCTAGCACTTTGGGAGGCTGAGGTGGGAGGATTACCTGAGCCCAGGAGGTCAAGGCTGCCATGAGCCATGATAGCACCATTGCACTCCAGCCTGGGTGACAGATCGAGACCCTGTCTGAGAGAGAGAGAGAGGGTGGTGAGCTAAGGACTCCTATGCAATTGTCCCCTTCCCCCAAGATCTTCAGAAAGAAGCAGATAGAACCTGGTTTGATATAAATGGGCTCCATGTCCCACACATATACCTCTATACATACACACACATGCACACATACCTATGCGTGCACACACATACACACTTTTACATGCATAAGTGTATGCATAGATACACATACAAACTCACACATATGCACACATATACACACTCTTTTTATGTGTGTCCCCAGGGGTCAGCTTAGAAGTCAAAATGTCTTCCTAGCCTCCACAAGCCAGCAGTTCTGGAAAACTGAAAGCTGGGTCGGAGGGAAGAGCATTCTGTCAAAGTTACTGCATTCGAGGTTTTGAGAATCTCAAGACCTACTCCACTCAGAACAGGAATTTCGCTCCATTTGCTCTACTTCTGGTTGCTTCAGAAAACAACCGGAACCTTCTAAGAGCTGTGAGTTTGATAAGCATCGTTGCAGAATGAAGGGCCATTGAGTACCCAGAAAGCGTTGAAATCCAAATGGTTTCTCATAATTGGTTTCCTGGAAGCAGCCCATGGGCTGGTTTTCAAGGTAGAGGGAGCCCCAGCCACCCCTGCTGGCTGCACACGGCTTGCCTAAGTGGACAGACCCCTCATCTGGATGCCAGGGTATTGTGCTTTCCTACCCCAGGCAGGTAGAGCCTGTAGCTGACACTCTAGACTCCAGGAACAGTTCAGCAGGACGGCGGGGCACCCAAAGGAACACGTCTGCCCAGGGATCCTGCTGCTTGAAGAAGCTTAGAGGATGGCAAGGAATTGTGACCTCCAGGAAGGCCACTGCTTGACATCTTTGCACCTCTGTGCCCAGCCCAGCCCTGGCGTGTACTAGAGGCCCTGCATGCATTTTCTACCCAGCTATTAAGTCTATTTATTCTGTACTGACATAGAAAGACACTCACCCTTGTTAGTGAGAAGGGCAGGTTGCAGGGCGAAGTGAATGTGTGAGTCCATGTCTGTCTGTCTGAGATGCAGGATCTCATCTGTTAGTGCAGGCACCCTGGGAAAGAGGGGATGCCAGACAGCCACTTTCCCCTTTGTTTGCTTCTGTTGTTTAAAAGGTTTTAAATGGGAATCGTCAATTGCCCTGGAGGTACTTGCAGTGAATTGAGGGAGACTAATGGGTCAGCAGATGAAATGCAATACAAACAGAAAGGGATTATAGCCAATTGAGATGGCTACAGTTTCCACCCGCCTCAAATCTCTTCATTCCTTCCCCCGCCCCCCCCCGCCCCCGCTTTTCATTCTTTCTTCAAAGTGAAAATAATTTTCTTCCCTCCCACAAATCTGCCATTCATTTTCTCTTTACCCCCATCTCCCCAACCAAAAAAATAAAAACGATTGTACATGGGCACGTGGATGCACACAGCATACAAACACACAGTTGTGATAAACTGGTCACGATTTATCTTCCATTGAGTTGCTGCCCTTAGAAGATGTTATCCTCCCCCCACCCCCATTTATGCTTGTTTGGCTTGGCTGGATTATTTATTTGCAGTGACAAATATTAAGCTAGAGCAAAATTTAGTCATCCACAGTAAAACATCATTGAAGCCAGGTGCAGTGGCAGGAGCCTGTGGTCCCAGCTACTCGGGGAGGCTGAGGCAGGAGGGTCCCTTGAGCCTGGGAGGTGGAGGCTTCAGTGAGCCTTGATTGCACCACTGCACTCCACCCTGGGTGACAGAGCGAGACCCTCATCTCTAAAAAAAATAAAAATAAAAAATTATTGAATAAGGATTTTGAACTTTGAGTGACAATGCTGTTTACCTCCTCTGATGATCAGGGTAGCATTCTACTCTGTTGAACTTTCCTTGGCTTTTTTCTAAGAAAGTCAACATCTTTCAAGTCAGCTTCTGGGACCAGAAAACAAGGCAATGAGTCCTTCACCTGAGCAGGAATCCCAAGCGACTCATAGTCCCTGCTGCCCTTCCTTTCTCTCTCTCTTTCTTTCTCTCTCTTTCTTTCTTTCTTTCTTTCTTTCTTTCTTTCTTTCTTTCTTTCTTTCTTTCTTTCTTTCTTTCTTTTTCTCTCTCTCTCTCTTTCTTTCTCTTTCTTTCTTTCTTTTTCTTTCTTTCTTTCTTCCTTTCTTTTCTTTCTTTCTCTCTCTTCATTTCTCCTTCCTTCCTTTCTTCCCTCCTTTCCCCCTTCCCTCCTCTCTCTCTCTTTGTTTTCAAAATGGGGTCTCGCTCTGTCACCCAGGCTGGATTGCAGAATCATAGCTCACTGCAGCCTCAAACCCCGGACTGAAGCAATCCTCCCTCCTCAGTCTCCCAAAGTGCTGGGATTACATGCATGAGCAACTGTGCCTGGCCCCTGCTTATCTTTCTAATCCCTTCTCCCACCTCCCGGCGGATTCGCCAACTACAAATCCATTTCATTCAGACAATCAAATCCAAATTTCTCAGCTGGGCATGATTTGACCTCAACCTCCCTGTCTAACTTCATCTCCAGCAATTTCTCTATTTTGCCATTTTCAGCCACACCAGCCCCTCTTGCCTCAAGCCTTTCCTGTTTGCTCTACCCAGTCATCCTCTGTCCACTTCTTCATCTTCTTTTTTAAAGATAGAGTCTCACTCTGTTGCCTAGGCTGGAGTGCAGTGGTACGATGATGGCCCACTGCAGCCTTGACCTCCTGGGCTCAAGTGATCCTTCCACTTCAGCCTCCCCAGTAGCTGTGACTACAGGTGTGTGTCACCATGCCTGGCTTCCTGTTCACTTCTTGACAAGACCAGCTCTTTCTTGCAGTTCCATGTTGAGCCCAACAGGTCCCTTTTTCAGAAATACCTTCCCCAACCACTCTATGGGCAAAACTGCCCATCTTCTCTTAACCTCTCCAGTTTCCCTACCCCATTTCATTAAACACCATCCAGATTTATCCAAAATCATCTTGTTTATTTAATTGCTTGCTGACCATCTATTTGTCCCACTGGAAGGTATGTTCCAGGACAGCAGGAACTTATCTGTCTTGATCATTGCTGATTTCAGTGTCCACCATAGTACCAGGCACCTAATAGGTGCTCACTAACTTTTCGTTAAATGAATGACCAAATAGCTTCTCAGCTCCCAAGGGTTGCTTGCAAAGTCCTCTGTCTGGTGCCCCCTGCAAAACCCTCCACCTGGGTCCTGGGGGACGACAGGGCTGAATGTGTGCTGCTGTGATTGCAGACAGAGTCCTTCAAGCTGAGTGAGCCCTACAGTCAGTGCACGGAGGATGGGAGTGACGTGCCAATCAGGAACATCTACAACGCTGCCTACTCGCTCCAGGTAACAGATTGCTGGGGGCACTCAGCCCTGGGTTTATGGCCTGGACCCAGGAGACAAAGTTATATCTAGGCTGGGGTGTGGCTTGCACCAGGAACTCTGGTGAGGATCCCTGGGGTTCATCCAGGGACCTCAAGAACAAATGATGCCAGCTGGTTCCAGTCCTCTGCAGTTCATCTGTAACCAGAGCTTAATTGATTCACCGAGGTTTCTGTGGAACTCAATGTACAGCTGAGACAGACACACCTCCTAAATAGGCCTTGGCAAGGGAGGAACAGGAGAGAAGCTGTCTGAGAGAGACACTGGCCGAAGGGTCAAGAGCATGGCTTCCAGGCCTGCTGGTGCCCCTCACTTGATGATGGCCTTGGACCAGCTGGGTTCCCCTCAGCAACCACAAGGGGAGGTGGGATTGGATCAGCGGCTGCTAATTTGCAGCTCCCAGTCGCCTTCCAGGTGGCATACCCAGTTTTTCAAGAGCCTGGGTGGTGTTTAAAAGTCAGAGAATTTCACAAGAAAATCCAGATTTCCAGTCTCTCGAAAAAATGAAACGATACGGCAGCATTGAGCCCATATTTCCTGCAGGATAAACAGTGGGTGTAGCCACCCCAATAAATGAAGCAGGTGTTCTCTGGCTCCCACAGTTTTCACCACCCCTCCGTATGTCACTTACATCACTGTCTCCTGTAGACATTTGACTTTTTAACACTTAAGTGAGACGATCTGTTCTGCCTCCTCTCACATTCTGGGAATTTATAGTTCACCTCCTACCAGGATACTCCAGAGAGTCCATGAAAATCAGTCCAGCAGAACAAAAGGACCAGAAACCTTCAGCACTGAGTCTGCCAACTTAGATAAGAGCTGAGTTGAGAGGTGGTGTAGACAATGAGTAAAAGAAGACTTTTGGGCCAGGCGCGGTGGCTCATGCCTGTAATCCCAGCACTTTGGGGGGCAAAGGTAGGAAGATCACTTGAGCCCAGGAGTTTGAGACCAGCCTGGGCAACATAGCAAGACCTTGCCTCTGGAAAAAAAAAGTTTTTAATTAGCTGGGCATACTGGTGCACACCTGTAATCTCAGCTATAAGGCAGGCTGAGGAGAGAGGATCCCTTGAGCCTAAGGGTTCAAGGCTACAGTAAGCCATGATCACACCACTGTACTTCAGCCTGAGTAAGAGAGCAAGACCCTGTCTCTAAAAATAAAAAAAGTGAGCTAATCAGAAAGATACTTCTGGATGGTATTTAGTGAGAGCTACCATGCACACACACACCTTACATGTATCAATTCATTTCATGCTCACAACTTCATGAAGTTGATATTATTATAAAGAAAGCAAAGCATCTGAGAGGTTAAGTAACTTGCCTGATGCCAAACAGTAGATAAGTAGCAAAGCTGGGATTTGACCTGAGTAGCCTGCCTTCAGGAACTCTGCTATTAGCTTTTATGCTATAAGCTCCATGGGTATTGTGGTAGCTTATGATCCATGAAGACCCAACGTGGAGGGCTTGGGCTTGAGAATAGGAACACTGGGACTGTGTTCATTTCTCTCTGTTTCTGGAGGACTCCTCCAATTTTCCCATTTAACTTTGTGTTGGCACCCACATGATGGAAAATGACCACTCCAGCCCCAGCTCAGCCCAATCTCCATGTCTCAGTTAGTCTAAATTCTTAATACATTGGCCAGGTGCGGCGGCTCATGCCTATAATCCCAGCACTTTGGAAGGCCAAAGTGGGAGAATCACTTGAGGTCAGGAGTTCAAGACCAGCCTGGCCAACATGGTGAAACCCCGTCTCTACCAAAAATACAAAAACTTAGCTGGGCATGGTGGTGCACATCTGTAATCACAGCTACTTGGGAGGCTGAGGTGGGAAGATCGCTTAAGCCCGGGAAGCAGAGGTTGCAGTGAGCTGAGATCGTGCCACTGCACTCCAGCCTGGGCAACAGAGCAATACTGTCTCAAAATAGGTAAATAAATAAAAATAATAAATAAATTCTTAATATATCTTCCAGCTTGGGCCCTTTGCAGTTCCAGGACCATGCCCAACCCAGTTGGCATAAGGGGCAGGTTCATGTGGTTGACCAAGGCTGAGGGAGGCTGACCCCCTGGGCTGAAGGGTGTGCAGGGAACTCCTTGGCATCCCTGTGCAAAGACATGAATGGCATCCCTGGGTCTCCTCTTTCAGATCTGCCTTCATTCATGCTTCCAGACGAAGATGGTGGAGAAATGTGGGTGTGCCCAGTACAGCCAGCCTCTACCTCCCGCAGCCAACTACTGCAACTACCAGCAACACCCCAACTGGAGTGAGTGAGACCCAGCCCCAGCCTTGCATGCCCCAGGACCAAGGTCAACCTAGCCCTGGCAATAGGCACTCATGGGACTCCAACCCTCTTGCCTTTTGCATGAGGGAGGTATTGGTTGAGAGCCATTTAACTAGAGTTTTACTTCTGTTGTCAAGCCTGCCTTGAATTATACTTTGCAACTGACCACCTTAGTCAACTCCAGAAGGTAGGAATGGGTCGATATTACCTTTTCACAGAATAGATAACCAAGACCCAGAAAGGCTAGACGGCTTGCCCAAGGTCACACAGCCAGAAAGGAACAGAGCTGGATCCAAACCAAGGGCGGTCTGACCTTCAACTCACACCCTTAACCACCACTGCTTTCTGTTTCCCAACATCACAAGGCAGTGTGTGTTTCCAGAGAGCCAGTGTTGGTAGAAAGTGGGAGGAGAAATCATTAAAATGAGACTGTGGGGCTGTCCTTGGTGACCCGGGGATGCCCAGGAAGGGTCCTGTGGCTTTTTCAAAGCTCACGCTGCCCTCTCCCTTGTCCCTCAGTGTATTGTTACTACCAACTGCATCGAGCCTTTGTCCAGGAAGAGCTGGGCTGCCAGTCTGTGTGCAAGGAAGCCTGCAGGTATGTGGACCCCAAGGGGTGAGATGGGCGGCTGGGTTGGGTTGGGCTACCTACACTCATACTGTCCCCTCCTCCCTTAGCTTTAAGGAGTGGACACTAACCACGAGCCTGGCACAATGGCCATCTGTGGTTTCGGAGGTAAGTTCTTCTGCCCACCCTTCCCCACTCAAGCCCCCAGCCTGGAACCCCACTGACATTTTTGCCGTGTCCTCTGGCCTGGGACATGGTCCAAGGGGAAGAGAGCTACCTTGCGGAGGCTGGGGAACAAGTTGGGGAGCCTGAGGGCGGGAGGCTGGCCCTGGCCTCTTGGGCATCCTCAGATCCACTCTTTCTCTCTCCATTGTAGAAGTGGTTGCTGCCTGTTCTCACTTGGGACCAAGGCCGGCAAATAAACAAAAAGCTCAACAAGTAAGTTTCCTCTACCCTGTTCCTCTGCTCTGGCCGCCACAGCCCCCAGTCTTCTCACCTGCTTCCATATGCGTATGGGTATGGCCAAATCTCTTTTTTTTTTTTTTGAGACAGAGTCTTACTCTGTCACCCAGGCTGGAGTGCAGTGGTGTGATCTCAGCTCACTGTAACTTCCGCCTCCTGGGTTTCAGCAATCCTCCTGCCTCAGCCTCCCAAGTACCTGGGATTATAGGTGCGCAACATCACACCCGGCTAATTTTATATTTTTAGCAGAGATGGGATTTCACCATATTGGCCAGGCTGGTCTTGAACTCCTGACCTCAAGTGATCCATCTCCCTCAGCCTTCCAAAGTGCTGGGAGTACAGGCAGGAGCCACTGAGCCTGCCCCCCTCTTCTTTTCATTCACTCACTCATTCATTTCCTTAAAGCTAGGAGACAGTGAACTCGCATCTGTGAATCATGCCGTGTGAACTCACATTTCTCTAAGCCATCACTATCTCCCTCATGCCCACTGCTGGGCCTGCCCACTGTGAGAGCCAATCTGGCCACTCTGGCTTCCAACATTCATAGAGCACCCCCTAGGTGCCAGGTGCTGTGTGAGGTGCTGGAGAAACCAGGACAATCAAGCAGACATGGTCTCTGCCCCCCAAGGTACTTACACTCTAATGATAAAATAGACTTTGACCAAGCAATTGCAAACCATTAAACCAAGTGTTGCAAACTGGTGACTGATCCTTGGCACAAATCTAGCCTCATGAACGCAACCCATTATTTCCAGCTTTTCCTGAAAGTTCAAAAGTTCTGGCAAGAACGACCCTCCACTGTTTTGTAGCACCGAAGAGCTGAGTAATACCTGCTCCTTTGGAACGAGTCATGGTCCAGTTTGCCATCGTCCTATTGAGAGGCAGTTTAGTGCGATGGTTAAGAGCATGGACTTTGAAGCCAAATCTAAATGAGTTGGAGTACTGGCTCAGCCGATTATCGACAGTGTAGTCTTGGACAAGTTCCTTAACCAATCTGCATCTCCGTTTCCACATCTGTGAAATGAGGATGATGAAACTATACATACCTGCCTCACAGGGCTGTTGGGAGAATTCAGTGAGTTAATTCACATAAAATTCTTACGACAGTGCTTGGCAACATAGGAAGTGCCCCATAAATGCTCATTGCCATTGTGCCTATTATCATATTACGTCAACTACCCTGCTCATGTACATTACCTGTACATACTTGAGATTGCTATCAAACAATTACAAATGTCGACGTTTAATGAAGAACAGGGTATAATGGCAGTATGGCTGGGTCGACTGACTTAATCTGGAAGCTGGGGAGCAGTTATTGAGTGAATGAATGATCTGAGGACCAGTTCCAGGCTGGAGATATGCTCTGGGGTGCAGACGGAGCCCTTATGGGCCAGGTTCTGATACCTCCAAGGAGCTCAGTGCCTTGACTGTGCTGCCAGCTTGGGTAGGAGGGAGACAGCCATGCTGAGGACTGGTGATCTGGTAGGATGCCAAGGCTCTTGACTCACCTGTTGGAATTTTGCAGGACAGACTTGGCAAAACTCTTGATATTCTACAAAGACCTGAACCAGAGATCCATCATGGAGAGCCCAGCCAACAGTGTGAGTAGAGTGGCTTCCTTCCAGGACCTGCCCTGGGCCTATGTCCCTTGTCATTGACACTGGGGAAAGGTGTCCTGCATGCCCTTAGGCAGCAGAGAACTGACCCAGGGCCCTTGGAGTGTTGGTGGAGATCAGAGTGCCGTGGTGGAGGTCTGGGACTATGTCAGAGTGTCCTCACTTTGGGGGCAGATGTGAGCATCTGCCTAGCCTTGGGGAGCAGAATCAGGGAAAGGGGTTCCAGCCTGCTCTAGGAAGGCTGCTGTAGGCTAGGGTCTCAGGTCAGAACACACAGAGTAAAAGGAGACAGGAAGCCTGCCTGCTTCTTCCTCCCAGTCTGTGCAGGGTCAGGGCTGACCGTGGCTCCCTTGGGAATCAGGGTTCCTGTGTGAGACCAACTTGTGGGGAGGTCCCTCTTGATGGGACTTATGTGGCTTGGCCTCTCTTGCAGATTGAGATGCTTCTGTCCAACTTCGGTGGCCAGCTGGGCCTGTGGATGAGCTGCTCTGTTGTCTGCGTCATTGAGATCATTGAGGTCTTCTTCATCGACTTCTTCTCTATCATTGCCCGCCGCCAGTGGCAGAAAGCCAAGGAGTGGTGGGCTCGGAAGCAGGCTCCCCCCTGTCCAGAAGCTCCCCGCAGCCCACAGGGCCAGGACAACCCAGCCCTGGATATAGACAATGACCTACCCACTTTCAACTCTGCTTTGCACCTGCCTCCAGCCCTAGGAACCCAAGTGCCCGGCACACCGCCCCCCAAATACAATACCTTGCGCTTGGAGAGCGCCTTTTCCAACCAGCTCACAGATACCCAGATACTAGATGAGCTCTGAGTCAGGGATGAGAAGACAGATCTAGTCAGGACCACCAGCCATGGTCTAAGGACCACCAGCCACGGTCTAAGGACATGGACCGGGTGCCCCCAGATGTGCGCACAGGGGACCCTCTGCCCCATTCTGGGCTTTTCAGAGACTCCAACCAAAAAGCCTGCTTTAAACCGCAAGATGGGGCCTGGACATGTGCAGGAAGACCCATCGGGTACTACGCAGCAACACTCACAACTATCCAGGCTGAGATACATCCTGGGACCTGAACTATTAGCGCGTCAGTAGAGACTGGGGGCCGAGGCAGTGGTGCCGGCCCAAGCGAAGGCGAGTGAGGGCTGATGCAGCTCTTTGCAGGTCTTGAGAGGGAAGGACTCTTCCAAAGCCCCAAAGCCGAGGGTTTCACCCGTACTGCCAGCCTGGGTCGGGGCCCAAGGATGTGACCTTGAGTATCAAGGCTGGACAGCTACTGCCGGATGCCAAAGATAGGAGAAAGTGCCAGCCCTGAAGCCGGAGCCGTTTGTGAATAAACTGTTCTTCTTCGTCACTGACACTGGGGAAAGGTGTCCTCCATGCCCTCAGGCAGCAGAGAACTGGCCCAGGGCCCTTGGAGTGTTGGTGGAGATCAGAGTGCCGTGGTGGAGGTCTGGGACTATGTCAGAGTGTCCTCACTTTGGGGCAGGGGTGGGCCCAGGAGATGGATCTGATTATCCCATTTTGTGGATGAAGAAACTGAGGCACAGAAAGATTAAGTTACTGGCCCAAGGTGACACAGTGAGGAGGTGGCAGAGCTAGGATTTGAACCCAGACAATCTGACTCCACGATTTTGCATCCAATTTGTGTCTGTACCTTTTAAAGGGTGAGGCCCATGTCACTTTGGGTGGGAAGACGGGGAGCATGGTGGGCCATGCTCTGGGCAGCTATTCCAAGACAGAGCTGACCCCCCCATCACCAATGGCCTGTCCCTCACCCACAAGCCAACTGCGACAGATGACCCACTTCATATCACATTCACATCTTCCCACCCGAAAATGGCTAACAGGTATTAAATCCTTGGTTGGTGTTTAAAGCCAACCCAGGAAAAGGTGTTAGGTACTGTTTTAAGCACCTAGATAGGTTAGCACAGGGGACTGCAAATGGTGTTCTGCAAATGAAATCCTGTTTTTGACCATGAACTAAAATTTTTATTTTATTTTATTTTTTATTTTTTGTAGAAATAGGATCTCACTATGTTGCCCAGGCTGTTCTTGAACTCCTGGCCTCAAATGATCTTCCCACCTCAGCCTCTCAAAGTGCAGGGATTACAGGCACAAGCCACCGTGCCCAGCCAAGAATTTTTATTTTTGCTTTTAAATAGCAAAAGAAGAAGATTCTGTAACTCATGAAAATGATATGAGATTCGACTTTGACTGTCTATAAATAAAGTTTTGTTGGTACACAGCCACATCCATTTGTTCAAGTTTTGTTTACGGCCATTCATTGCACTACAGTGGCAGAGCTGAGTAGCTACAACCCAAACCTGCAAAGCCAGCAAACCCTAAAATATTTTCCCTTTGGCCCTTTACAGAAAACTGCTGACCCTTGGATGAGCGCATTCGATGGATATGATCATCCCATTTTGTGGATGAAGGAACTGACGCATAAAAGATTAGGTTACTTGCCTAAGGTGACACAGCTGGGAGGTTGCTGAGCTGGGATTTGACCCCAGACAGTCTGACTCCAGAGCTGGTGCCGTTTATCGCTCCATTATTTTGCAGCCAATCTGGTCTGTACCTTTGAAGGATGAGGCTTCATCCTTTATTTTGGGTGGGAAGGGGGAGAGGCTAAATACCCTGGCTCTAGGGCTGAAGGAAGTCCTTCATCTATGATTGGCGAAGGTCCACAATTCAGGACTAATTCCCTTCATGAGAATGGCTGCTAGTAAGGGCAAGAGTCTTGGTAAAAGAGAGGGCTGTAGGGACCCTGTCTGGACCTGGGCACCCCTGGTTCAACTCAACCCAACCCCAGGCCTGTGACTAGAGTAAGCCTCTGCCCTACGTGGTGTTTCCACTAGACCTCATGGGGCAGGGCATTGCCAGCAGGTATGCCAGTCAGCAAGGAGGAGGTCATGATGACCCCAGACTGGAGGGAGCTCCCCCATGAAGTGGGCTCAGGAGCCAGGCCCATGCAGGTGGGGATTGGGTTACAGAGGCCGTGAGCCTGGCTCTCATCCACGCTGGGCTCTGGTGGCTATAGCCGGTGCTGACAGGGAACTTGCAGCGGATGCCTGCCTGGGCACAACGCAGACAGGAGCTTCCTCGTCCTCCTCCATGGTGGGGGCAGGAGGTGCCCTCAGATTCGTGGAACTGGCCAGCCTCTGCCTGATGGAGGAACACTTCTAGTGAGGCTTGCCAAAGGCAAGGCCACGAGAATCCAAAGCCAACAGCTGCTCGACTCTCCCCAAGCACACAGGCGTGCACACCCAGCAAGCTCTAGCTGTCTCCATTCTTGTTTGGCTCTTACAGTGTCCAGCATTTCCTTGCCTCCTTTCCCACTTCACCCTTCCAGGCCAACTGCAAATGTCAGCGCCTCTGTAAAGTTTTCCCTGATCCTCTTCCCTTGCCCCAAGAAGTTGGAGCTTCCACCATTATACAGCTTTCATACATATGTGTGTGTGTGTGTGTGTATGTATATATATATATATGAAACAGGCAAGGTCTTGCCTCTGTCTCCCAGGCTGGAGCACAGTGGCATGATCATAGCTCACTGCAGCCTTGACCTCCTGGGCTCAAGC